TTGATTGATTGATTGATTGATTGATTGATTGATTGATTGATTGATTGATTGATTGAAAAAATAAATACTTTGATAATATTACCATAATGAGGTATTAAAAGAACAGTCTTATAAACTGGATTTTATCTTTTGAGTCGAAACATTTTTGTTTCTGTTACATTTCTACAATACAGTACATTAAAAATAGACAATAATGAGAATTCAATATTACTGGTAACCAATTATTACCAATTTTAATCTTTTCTATATTATTTAATGAACATAAAACTTCGTCTAAAGTCGGCATGTTCATGTTCTTTTAATGTATTTCATATCTGATGAGACGGTATCATCAGAGTTTTACCTGGTCAGGTAATTCTTTGTGAATTTTTTTTGTTCCTGGAAGACTTTCTGACATTAAACATGATCTTAGTGTGGAGCGTTTTTATGTAAAGTGCGTCAGTTGCTGTGTATTGTTACTGCCTTTCACCAAACCTCCATGAGAGAAAAGCATTTTCTTCAAACTAATTTTGATGTTGCTGTAGTCCTCAAACATTAACAAAAAAATAATGGAATGCATAATATTTTGATATAAATATTTTATTCTAGGTAATAACAATTGTTCGACTGCGTCCGATGCGTAAATATCAGCGATAAAGATGTAGCCACTCAGTCGTCATTAACTGAGCAGCTTCTTCACTTCCCTGCAGACCACAGATTAAGGTTTCTGCTAAACCTCCCTGCAGTGAGTGGAAAACTAACCAGCCTCTTCACAGACGAAGATCTTCTATCGCATGCAAGTCTGAATAATATCATTTCTACTCAGGTGAGTTTCACTTTTTATTAAAAATCTACTGACAGTGTAACCGTTATAACCCAACCACATATCTTGTTGAGGGCATTACTTTTATTTTCCAAAAGTAATGTCCTCATTACTTTCTACATTTAAATGTAGTTTAAACTACTATTTTTTACATTAAAAAAAAAAGTAGTTTAAACATTTTTTAAACTACTTACTAACATTACTACTACGGCTATGCAGATCCAACCCAGCTGAATGTTTGTCATTAAAACAAACAACATTTAATATTTTTCATTGTTTCATTTATTTATTTGGATTTTGTTTTGGAGGCTCTGTTTTACACAGCTGATTTAATTGTTATACATTTAGTTTCTTTCTTAATTTGTCCAGCCAATATATTTTTGTTAAAAAATCTTTTAAAAATTTGTATGATTTTATTTGTCTTATAATAATTTTTAGTTTCAATCATATCTACTATACTAATATTTAATCCATATGAAGACATTCATGTTTTGTTTTCTAGAACATGATTGGCATCTTTTATTGTCACATTTCTAAGTCAAACAACAGAAGTGAATGTATTTTGATACACTTTCAAATCTTTACTGCACCAATAATTTTTATTATCTGACATTAAAGAAATAAAACACAATAAACACTGCATATAAAATTTTAAAGATGACACATTTAATTTGAAAGCCATCTTTATTAGAGTTCTTCGCATTCAGCTCCTGTCTCGTTGTAAAGTAAAGCAGTTTTAGAAAGTGTGAGATCTGAGATGGCCGATGGCAGAAAGTCACGGCTCTGAGTGTTTAGATTGAAAAACAAGATAAGTATTGTGAGATTTGAGGGTATTGATGACACACTATCATATATTACAGTCTGCAGAGATACTTATGAATATGAAAAACCTCTTCGTCTTTGCTGATGCCATTAACAGGTTTATGTTTTAAAAGCTTTTTAATGACATGGGAATTAAAATCAGAACACAAAGCAACTTGTTTCTGTCTAGAAAACATTTAATTCAAATCATGCACACACTATTAACTAATATGAGCCTTTTGTTAAAGATTCCTCTGTAAAACAAGAGATTGATTAAAAAAGGAGAGAAAACTTTTGTTCATCTTCACTAAACCAGATGTGGGTCGATTTGCTGAAAACTGT